CTCACCTGTCCTCAGACTCACCTGTCCTCAGACTCACCTGTTCTCTGTCTCACCTGTCCTCAGACTCACCTGTTCTCTGTCTCACCTGTCCTCAGACTCACCCGTCCTCAGACTCACCTGTTCTCTGTCTCACCTGTGCTGCAGGTGTTCGACTTGCGGCAGTGCCACAGACAGATGCAGCAGCAGGCGGCAGCAGCTCAGACGGCTGCTGAGACTCAATCAGCTGCAGTTGCTGGTGCGATTCCTGGTCCCAACAGCGTGGGTGGGATTGCACCTGCCATCAGTGAGTCTCACCTGTCTGCACCTGATGACTTTGCCATTATAATTTGAATATGATCTTTTAATGTTCAGACAGCAGGTTTCTGTAGGGACCCTTTAGCTGCTCAGGTGTGTGGACATGTTTGGCTCCTCCCTCAGATGTAAAGGTGTGTTTGGCTTCTCCCACAGGTGTGTGCTTGGCAGCAGGTCTGGGTGTGGATGACCTGCGCAGGTTGTGCATTGTGCGACTGAGCTTTGTTAAAGGTTGGGGGTGTGACTACCCACGGCAGAGCATCAAAGACACCCCCTGCTGGCTGGAGGTCCACCTGCATCGTGCGCTGCAGCTACTCGACCAGGTGCTGCACACGCTGCCACCGCGGGAACACACGGTCTGACAGACTCACCTGGATTCTGATGAGTACTGCTGGCACCCAGTGGCACAGCAGGAGGCCCCGCCCTCTACACAGGTGTCAACAAACACACCTCAGCAGCTCATTGGTTGGTTGAAACAAACTTCTGACATTCAGCCAATCACTGCATCACGTCCTGAGTTGCCATGGCAACAACATCTGAGAGTCTGTTCACACAGACACGAGTTTGTATGTTTCACATGACGGCCCAGTGTGGTCCCTCTGGAAAGGTCTAAAGTCCCCACCCCCCAAATACATCCCATAACTGTTAGATCTCCGAACAGATTTTTGACCTGTAAAGCATCTGGGAGCAGGTGAGGTCAGTCCGGTCCAGATCCAGATGAGACTGTTCTACCAGAGTCCAGAGACTTTTGCAAACTGATCCTCTAACAGCTGCAAACATGGAAGCCTGTTTAAAATCAGCTGATACCAAAAACCAGATGTTCGTCTGTGCTCGTCATACACGTTATAAACGTTATAAACACGTTATAAACACTATCTTTATCCATCATTTTCCAAAGACTCCTTTCTGTTTTATGGCATCATATCCTGTTGAGGTTGGAAGTTTCTCTAACTTGTCAGAATAATTTATCCTGTCATCTGTTTTTTAACGCATTATCTTAAGAAACAAGAAGCACTTTGGTAACAGTTTCTGTTTTAAATGTGCTCTATAAATAAATCTGACTTGACGACGTTGAAGCTGGAAGGATCTCTGCTGTTCACATGAAAATAAACATGCACAGGTCAGAAGATGTTTTATTTTTATAATAATGTTGTTCGTTGGTGTTTTATCAGAACGAACTTGTCAGTAAAGATGGCGCCAATCCAGACAAAGACTTCGCGCCTGTACAGTTTAAATGTTTTGTTGTCGTTTGATTAGTCACGCCTTTGCGATTTCAACCAATCGCAGACATGAGTTTTTCATACTACGGTTTAGGGGCGGGGTTTGTCATTATAGGGCGTGGTTTGTTGATGGCGGTCGAGCAGCGAACATGGAGGTTTAGTCGCTTTCGGGTGTTCGTGGAAAGAAGGGTTTACTGATCTAGGTTTTATCTTTTCTGTTTGTTTGTTACATTTTATTTTCTTCAACTTGTTGGACTTTATCATGGAGATGAAGAAGAGGATCAGCCTGGAGCTGCGGAACAGAAATCCTGCTGAGGTTTGTGGGGGAAAACAGACATTAATGTGATCAAGAAGCTGAAGATGCGGACTCAGCCGACATGACGATGATCCAAATGTTCCGCAGAAACGGACGTCGAGATTTTTCTCTTGCGGGCGTTGAACGCGTTTGTTGGTTGTTACCAGCGTTTTGCGCCTTGATGGAACCGCTGCAACTGCTCGTGTCCCGGTTGACTCCGCCGTTTTCAGATTCTCTCACGCTCCGACTTCTCGTCAGATTGTGGAGGAGCCTCGCGTGAACCTACCACAGTTAGCAGCTAACATGCTAATGCACCGAGGCGACCACAGTT